ACATCGACCTCAAGAAGGCGTTTGATATGGTGCATCGCGAATCACTCTGGGAGATCCTGAGACTGAGAGGAATTCCAACAAGGATTGCTGGACTAATAGCAAACCTGTATACAGGCACTGAAAGTGCTGTAAAGTGTGGTGGGGGCCTGTCGAGCTTCTTCCCTGTTAGTTCAGGCGTGAGGCAAGGCTGTGTTCTTGCACCACAGTTTTCAACACTTGCATGGATTGGATACTGGGTAGAGCTCCTGTCCACAGTCACTGTGGAACAACTCTGCGCAATATCAAGGTTACTGACCTTGACTTTGCTGATGATGTTGCCATTCTATCTGAATCTCTGGAAACCTTAGTGGCAGCTCTTGATGCATTTAGCAATGAAGTGAAGCCCCTGGGGCTAGAGGTCTCCTGGACCAAGACCAAGATCCAGGATTTTGGGGGCCTACTAGGAGACCCTGTGCAGTCGGTACGTGCTTGCGGTGAAAACATCGATGTCACAGAGACCTTTATATACCTCGCTAGTGCAGTTCACGACTCTGGGCTGTCAGACCAGGAAGTCAGTTGACGGATTGGCCTGGCAGCAGGGGTCATGAAATCTCTCGACAAGAATATTTGGAGATGCCGGTACCTGTGCAGAAGGACCAAGCTACGTGTTTTCAAGGCCCTGATACTGCCAGTTTTACTATATGGTAGTGAAACCTGGACGCTATCTTGTGCTCTGGAATCTCATCTTGATGCCTTTTGTAACATATCCTTGCGCCGGATCCTGGGGTACAGTTGGCAGGACCATGTGTCCAACCAACGGCTGCACCGTGAGACCGGTACAGGACCTGTTACTTGCACAATCCTTGATCGCCAACTCAGGCTATACTGCTACTTGGCTCGATTCCCGCAGGAAGATTGTCTCTGTCCGTGACAACCCTGGGTGGAGGAGGCCTGTGGGACGACCGAGAAGGTCGTGGTTTGAGCAGATCGATCAAACCTGCCGTGAGGAACTAGAGATGAGCTGGGCCCCTGCCTGGCGGCTCGCCATGAGGGACCCTCGAAGGTAGAAACAAAGGGTGCATGCGGCTACGCGCCCCTGCCGGCGTTAGCTCCCAAATGATGATGATATACATACATACATATATATATATATATATATATATATATATATATATATATATATATATATATATATATATATACTATACACATATATGTATTTATTTATATATATATTATATTACATACAGCCATAGCAGTAACATGATAAGTCCGATATGCGAAGCTGACTCGGTGCTGACTCGGCTGAGCTTAGTCCTTAGTCCATCCAGGCGACAATTGCAACTTCTCGTGCCTGGGCGAGGCGCGAACCGCCGACCCCTCGGATGAGAGGCCAGTAAAAAGGAAGGGAACGTTTATGTTGTCTGCCGTGGGTAATGTGGAGGGTTGGGGGAGGTGTTGGGGCTGCAGTATAGACTGGGATGTCTAGAATTAGAATGGTAAAAGAATTTGACTGGGGGAGGTAGGGGGTAGAAGTGAGAATGTAAGATGGAGCAGGTATAGGGGAGGGTGGGAGGGAGGGGCAGGTGCAGAGCGAGTGACATTATTGGAGTTGGGAGTAAGAGAAAAACCTCGTCGACGTGCTTCCCGTTTATCATCATGCAGAGTGAGGCCAAGTCTGAATCTGAGAGTTGCCACCTCATACGTAGGTGGGGCACCCCCTATAAAAAACAGTATGGAGGCCACCACAATTGACACATGTGCGTGACAGCAGAACAGTTTGATTGGTTGTGACCAGATTGGACACATAGACGGTATCGGGCTGTGGAATGGCAGTGTTTGATGCATTATCCTTATCCTTATCTACCAGGATGTCCTAAACTCCAACAATTTTGACGTTGACTGGGGGTAAGGTTGATGTGGTCGGGCTCTTCCAATGTACACATTAAAGGGGAGGTCATTCTAATCTTGGCATT